CGTGCCAACTGCCTTTAAGACGCTTGAGTAGGCGACGCACGTGAAAGTAGTAGAGGAAAACATCAGAAATGGTCTACATGAAGCACTTCAAACCGCTAACATTATCCGAACTTTCCAGCGCTCGGAGCGAGTTTTCCAACCTAGTAGATCCACACCAGCAGACTCATGGCGAATAGCCGGTTCTCGTTTTGATTCTTCATCCTGACTAAGGGAAGTAGAGTAGTGGCAAAAGCTCCGCCTATCACGCACGCGGTACAGGGGTTGAATGCCGCACGCCCTCAGTACAACCGAGCCTTCTATCCTCGGGGTGCGGTAAATTAGAACCAGATTTGTCTGCGGAGGATAAACACACTTACTTGCATATCGCGTGGCCCCACAAATCACTGTGTAGGCCATATGACATTCAGTAAACTGCCACGATTTTGTAATGAAGAAGAGTGCGTTTTGCACCCCAAAAAGGATTGACTAACGGAGAGGGATTTATCTTTATGCTTCAACCCTTTAGTTTTTCTGATATTTTTTTCAGCGACCATTCTGGTGGCGTGGTGTCAGCGACAGGGACTTATTCTAGTAATAGTGCCGTTAGTTTCCACACAGTCGCTGCATCCAAGCGAAAAGGCGCAGGATTCAACCGCACCAGAACACAGTAACCACAAGGCAGGCGGAAACCTTGACGCTAGGGTTGAGAGCTCTCTACCTCTGATTTCATTGTCAAAACCTCTCCCAGTGACGAGAGGGCCCCTTCAAATCAACAGTGGACATGAGCACCTCGTACACGGAACGATGTCTACTCTCACGTAGTTGTACACTGTGCCTTCAAAAGGAAGAACGAGCCCCTGAATTTTTCAGAGCGCTCTATTTGCTTATGGGGCCTTGTTCACAGAGAGGAGTGTTATGTATAGAATGGCTCTCTGAGGCGCTGGTGGTGTAACGGCAAGTGGCACATCACCACATGCACGGTCCGGGGGTCGGTCAGATCCCGGATAAGCGCTCAACCCACGCGAACCACGTCTTCCTCTCTCCGAGGAGGGTAAATTGGTACCATATCTGTCAGCGAGGATAAGAAAATAGTGGTGTGTACATCGGGTGGCCACCCCAAATGGAGGTAGATCCTCGTGTGCTGTATCCTGAAAGGGAGTGATCAACGGTGAAGACTTGATCCGTTGAAT